GAGGGCCCAGTGGGGGGGGTATGGGAACGTGGGTTGAGCGGCGTTTGCCTTGGGCGCTGGGGAGGGGTGTGTGGCCGGAGCTCCCCGGGGGCGGCGCTCGCTCACTCACTCCCCTGTGCTCTCCGCAGGCTCTGGTGCCTGGGCCCGTAGCCGCCCCTCCCCCCGGAGCATCGCCCATCTGCCCCGCTGGGAACATGGCGTCCGGCGGCTACCGGAGCAGCGGGGGCAGCACCACGGACTTTCTGGAGGAGTGGAAAGCCAAGCGGGAGAAGATGCGGGCGAAGCAGGCGCCGCCGCTGCCGCCGGGGGCACCGGCCGGGACTGACGGCAAAGCCCCCGGGAGCGCTTCCTCGGCTGCCGAGCTCAACAGCACCCTGCACCCCGCCGGCCTGGCCGCTCCGCCGCACCCCCCGGAGCGGGGCGCCCCGTCCCCCAGCGGGGGCACGAATTGTGTCCCCCTCTCCGCTAGAGCCGGCTCCAAGGAGCCCCCGCCCCCAGCCGGGGGCAGAGCGGCTGAGCCTGCGGGGAAGCCCCCCGCCGCGCCCGGCTCCCCGGAGGAGGAGAAGGCGGTGGCGAAGGGGAAAAGCTCCGGTCCCAGCGCCAGGAAGGGGAAGGGGCAGATCGAGAAGAGGAAGCTGCGTGAGAAGAGGCGATCGACAGGTGTGGTGAACATCCCCGCCGCCGAGGTGAGCCCTGCGCCCCTGCCCGGGATAGGGGGGTGCTGGGTGTGTTCAGGGGCTCGGTGAGCTCGCTGCTTGGGCGAAGGGTGGCTGCAGCCCTGCTGGGATGCTGCACTTGAGCAGCCAGCGCCCAGCTGTGAGCTCTGCTGCCTGCCGATCCCACCCCCGCCCTGGAGCTGCTCAGGCGGTGGGATTGCTTCCAGTTTCTTGCAGCGAAGGAGGCTTGTTCTCTCCTGCTCAGGATGAGGTGTGGGGAAGCTGCCTAATCCGTGAGATGTGTTGTATCACAGGCTGCGCGCTTAACGCGGGCGGAGCATCGTCCATCCTGTCCGCAACCCTCTGGGGACCAATAATAGGCTTGTCAGTGGCAAAGCTAAAGGTTTTG